TCTCTACATTGACTATTCTCTGAAAAAGGCACCCTTCTGAAGAGAAGGATGGATGCATCCTGCTAACTTAATTTCTACCTTCCTAGAAGAGGAAAAAGCTACAATACCTAAACTATGCTCATCACAAAACCTGAATCAAGAATTCAACTGATGCCCCACAATCTGGTTCAGCCCATTACAGAGAGCACAGATGGGAAGTTCAGATGTGGATTAAAGCTTTTTCTGCACATTGCAATGCCTTCACAGCATCTTTAATGACACTCCTCTTGAGATATGAACATTAAGCTGTGTTCCTTCTAGCCTGTTCTTCATCAGGAGTAAAATTCTGTCCTCAGGCTTTATTAATGATCCTGCTGATGATACATGAGATGAAACAAAGCACAGCTCATGCCACAAAACCAGCATTCACTTTTCTAAGCTAGGAGAAACACATTAAAATTGGCGATGACAGCTAGTTCTGTTAGAAAATTAATGATACGAGGCTCAAAGTACTGATTGCATATCCATAAAAGGTTTCATGTTCAAAGGGGTAACATTTGATTGAACTGAGTTTATCTTTAGAAAGATGGGATCTGTTTCTTTCAAGCACTGTGTTAGGTTTGGAGAATTTCTTTTAAATGTATTTCACATTTCCTTGCTTTTTTTTCTGCAATACTTTGCATGCTTTTGTACATCACTTAAAAAAAAAATAAAAAATTGAACTTTTAGAAGGCTAAAAGTACATGTTTTAAGACCCGACTGAGCAAACTGGCCCATCAGTAGCTGGAAATTTTGCTTTCCCCTATTTTCAACTGAACTGAAAACACTTGAATTGTTCATGAACCTTTGTGTGTATATTTTAGCATTTTCAGTAAGAATGGCATTCCAGGCATGCCCACCTTTTCCTGCCTTGCAGCAATCCTCTAGTAATGGGCGACTCGGGACACTGTAGGCCATCTCATTAGGAAAAAGATAAGTAATTGGCTACAAAAAATCTCATAATTTCTATTGCCTAAATCTAAGGTGCTTTTAAAAATGAACAACAGTGTCTGCAGTTTGTTCAGACCATCATCAAGAAAAATAAAGCAATGAAAACCCATTAATCAATTCAGTCTTATTATTTTTATTCTGGCATCTTGCACTGGAGCTCAATATTACTTCATCTCTTAGAGCCCAAAGCATGGTCTTACAGATTGTTTCAGACATCAGGTGTGCAGCAAGCACTGATTCCCACCATAAAGCTCCTTGCCCATAATTAATGTAGCTCTATACAAGGTGTAATGGGTGTGTCAGCTTCATTTTGGTATGGCTGCCATATGCTGTCACCTGAAGGAGTGTCATGAATTTAAGTTAATCTTGAGCACATGGATGGGGAGAGGAGGTGAAGGTTTGTTTCTGGGCTGAAAAATGAACACCTTGAACAATTAACTGTTGTGCAGGCATGGGTGCAAACATGCTGGAAACCAGCAACATGGCAACTCTAACAGAAAAGAGTTCCTTCAAGTGTCTTAGCCGTGCAGACACTTCTGCCTACTATTTACTCTGAAATTCTGTCACTCCCTTAGAACAAAAAAATAGTGGCCGTTAGTGCAGAGTGATCTCATTATGTTTAATAGCTACCAGTGCATTCTTCTTCCAATCATTTGTCCAAACACTTTTGAATCCTTATAAAATTTTAGCATCCACACTATCCTATGGTAGAAGTTCCACAGTTAATTGTGCTTAACTTTTCATTTCCAGCCTGCATTTGCTGCCTGTGTCTTATTTGTTTATTCTAGTGCTGACATCGTCCTTCATACAGAATACCTCTTCTTCCTTACTGAGGTTTATGTGAATCTTAACTACCTCAAAAAACTAGATTTTATGGCAGAATTCTGAAATTAAGTTATTTCCACAATGCTCAAATCAGTGCTGAATAGAGATGACCAAGACAGTTTAATATGCTACTTGAGTACCAAAAGTAGCACAGCAGCCTCCCTTGGCTCAGGAGGATAAATTAACCCAAATGAAGAATGACACTGACAAAATATTTTTATGCAGTAGTATATAGTTCTTTAAAACTATATGAAGAAAATGTGATCATATAGACAAAAATCTATCAAAGATTGCTACACTGGGATCAAGTCACAACATTGATTCTTTCTTCACATTCACGGGGAAACACACATTCATACCATGCATTGGCATGGATGCCAGTGTTGTAGCATCTCTATTAAGAAATCCTGCTTGCCAAATACGGTTGATCAATCCAATCTGGCACACAGAGTGGGAAAGAGCTGTCGCATCGCATAGCAGCTCTGCATGATGCCAACTTTTCACATAAGCAGTGTGCTAAGCACACACCTATGTAAGGACCGCAGTAAGAGACACTTGCCTACCACGTGCCCATATATGCCAGGCAATTCATCTCATCATGTCACCTGAAGCGCATACAAAGCACTTGCACAGAGAGTAAGGCGGTTTCAAATTCAATACTTTCTAATTCCTACAAGCAAAGAGATTAGAGAGCTCCAGGAGAGAGATTTTCAACAGGAAGGGGTAGGTGGGTTTTAGTAACCACTGTCAGCACACTGAGATGTGTCTTTTGTTTGTAAGCCACTCTTTTCTCCTTATTCATCCTGGCAACCGGATCAGCATTCCCACCTAAGGAATAGCAACTGTTCCCAGAGCAACAGCAGGGTTAGGGTGTGAATTATTTGGCACTAGAGGAAAATACTCCAGAACGGATTTGAAATTAGTTTCACATTTCTGAAATACCAAGGGAAATTTATATAAAAAGTAAGACATTTCAAATATTAACCTTGTTCATGTGTGTGTAGAGATGAAGGGAATATCATCTGAAATTCGTGCTTTTTTGTGCTCGCCTACAGTGGAAACTGCAAAGATTTGTCTGTGTGCTGGGGAACAAACGAAAGGGATGCAGAAGGAATCAGTGCTCTGCTGTGAATTCTACAACCAGTTTTATTTTATTCAAAGACATACGTCTTGGAATCTGTAATCAGCGTGTCCCCTCAAAAACGTGTCATAGCAGGCAGTAATAAATCATTCAGGCATTCACTCAGTTGTTCACTTGGTAAGTCCCAGTGAGTGCCATGTATCCTGAGACTGCTATGAATGTACGCAACCCTGAAAATACAACCGAGCTGTGAAACAAACAAATCACACAGGAGATGTCCTACTATTATGATAATAGCAGTGCTGAAAGTGTTCAAGGAAAAGGACACAACTGAGTATGTGTTCTCCATGGGTTTTTCCATCTGGCTAGAAACTATAAAGAACGCACATAGAAACTGTGACACGTTCAGCTTCTGCTTGCTCCTATGCAATCTCCATCTCCATAGAGCACATGTGTGATGGTAATACACGTATGTTTTCAAGGGCAGAAGGGCTCCAAGCTAATAAACCTAAATTAGGAGGAACCTCTGCAAATCGAGATGTATTTTAAACTTTGTCATGGAGCAGAGCCTTCTGAGGTTCACACTAATATCCTCTCTCTTTAAATAAAAAAATACCCAGAGCATAACTTACTTGCATTCAGCAACTGTCTAGCTATTAGGGAATGTAAGGTTCGAAGCGACTTCCCTGTCTATTAGAGTTCACCTTCTTTGGATATTGCTAGCGCAGGACCTATCAAATTTACAGGGTAGGTTGAATTAGTATCTTTGGACTGGGATTTAATTTTTAAGATCACACACTCCTTTCCCAGTACCTCAACAAATCAACAGCAGATTGCCACATGGTAAGAGTAGCTTTATGCAGTAACTAAAGATAGCTGAGGTGCGTATTGTTCAATGGCCAGTGTTCATTAGCAGTAAAGCTCATTCAGGAGGTATCTGCCTCCTGTTCCTTTGAGTATGCGTATATTCCACACATCTGAATTAAACACACCACTGTATATTTTGGCCCAGGCTCACTTATGTACATAGATCATAAAACCAGCAATGTAGTGATAATATTTTTGGGGAAAGGGAGATGTTTACACTGGCAGATTTATTAAAAAATATTTTTAGGGGGAAAAAGAAGAATACACCCTGCATCAGCTGAAATTCAAATCTGGTTTCTGATTGAGTATCACTGTTTGTATACTATTTGTAAATGGAAATCAATACCCTACTATCAGAACAGCGTATCTGTTATGAAGACATTAAATAATGTCGTTCTTCTATCGCTTTTTAAGAGGTGATGGAGGGAATGCTATTTTCTAAATAGAAAGACAAACCAATACGTTTCCCATTGGCTTTTGGAGAACATATGATCCTGAGTCCTGGAGCTTATCAAAAGAAAAATCTTCAGTGAAGACCCTTTTAAAAATGTTTGTTAAACATTTGCACTCTGTGCCTTTGGATTACAAAACTGTGCAGGTGTACCCATGAGCAGACAGCTTTTTCAAATGAATTGGCATGAAGATAACTTTTCCTCACAGTGATATTGGACCTTAAGTTTAACTCACCTGACTTTTGTTTTCCATCCGTTTCACCAATGTATTTGTTTTGCCTGTTAGGTGGGTTTTAAATATATCAACAACATTACATACAATACCACATTGGGACTACTGGACAAGCTGAGCTATAAAAGAAAAATGAGATTTACAGTAGTTACACCATTTACTTTTATTATGGAACAGAGAGGCATTACCATGCTACTTGCTATAAACTCAGATGCTCAGAGATGGCTGGGCTTGTCCCCAAGCTGTGCACCTCCACAAGAAAACTGCAATTTCTATTCTCATTTGCATGTCACATGATTGTACAAATTAACATAGCACAGACTGGCATGAATATCTGCTCACTAAAAAGGCTGGTTCTGGCAAAAATAGCAGTAAATCTACAAAAAACTTCATGACATAAGTCCATCAACTACGAATGCTAGAGAGGAAAACAAAAATCTGCTGAATATTTAAGCAAACCTAAAGTTCCTATACCTGTTGTGGAACAGTTGAACAACCCGACAGAAATCAGATTTAAACTCGTGCCTCTGCAAACAAGTCACATACAGCAATAAGGCATCAAAGCAGTACTCACAGCTAGAGAATATCAGTGGACATGAATGTTCATCCATTGGGAAATTGTGCAGCTGCAGCTGGCACTCAGCATTGATGGTAAGCCTGTGGAGAAACCGAGCACCTGTTACTACACAGCAGCACAGTGAACAGTCAGAGGAGGAGGAAGAGGAGGAGGAGGCAGGGTAACCTTAGGTATCATGCAAGAGCTCTTTGACATCCGTAAGTAAGGCCTGAAAGGAAAGGACTATATTTGCAGATTGTTCATCGGCTCCTTAGGCTTGATCCAAAACGATAATAATTATCTAAAGCGACAAATAATTTCAGACACGTCATTAAGAGTTTCTTGATCCCCAGAAATCTGCACATATGTTTTTCTCTAGATAATTCATCATTGAAGGACATGGGATGGATATAACTATTCTTTACAAAAATAATGGGAAATGTGGCTGATGTGATGGTATGCAATTCCACAAAATTAAAACCTAATAAAGAATGTTATAAGGAACACTCTCTGCATTTACTTACAGTGTGAACTTAAAATTCTTTCAGTCATTTTGGGCTGTCTCTCAAAAACTTAATAAATCTCTCTATGCCATTCTCAGTTGTACAGGGGTAACAAACAGCTCAGCAGAAATGTTTTCAACCCCACTAGAAAGCCTGTTTTATGGGATATCCCTAACACAAAGGCCACTATGAATGGAGCTGATTTAAAATTACTATTAAAACCAGATAATCTTCAGTCTGAGCTTACAAAGTAAATCTATTTACCTAGGTAGATTACATTCAGTGCTAGTTTATTATAGGCTTTTTCAGGAAACAGACACATTAACTGCAAGCCTGAATTTATGCAGCAAGTGTAGGGCATGAGGGGTTTTTGTTGGGTTGGTTTTTTTCTTTTGTTTTTTGAACTAATTCAAAAGCTAACAAACTGGATGGGGAAAGGTTTGTGCCTCACATTCAGGGTGGCACAGAGAAAAACTCTGTCTTGGAGAAGGTCACCTGTGAGGAACCTAACAGCTTTTTTGCACTGATACTAGATGGCACAGAGAAAAACTCTGTCTTGGAGGAACCTAACAGCTTTTTTGCACTGATACTAGAAGAAGATTTGCAGTGTTACAGCAGGAGTGCATTCACACCCAAAAGCGGGCAGGGAAGAGGATGGAAAGGCATGGAGCATGACTGAACCTTGTACACTTTCTCCCAAATGCAGAACACTCATCAACACCCGACAGTACCAGGATATACGGTAGTTACTGTTTCCAAGCCATACCAATTCTGTGTGCTCAGAATAAATTGGGTTTGAATTACAGTTGCATCAATAAACACTGATCTTTCTAACAGCTTCTCTTATGTTAAAAGGAGGCTGACCTGAGTGTGCAAAAAAGGACTCAAAACATCTTTCACAAACTAAAAATGCTCATTCAAACCAGCCGCTGGGTCAAGTATTACCCCTTTTTTAGTTTAGACACATTTTGCAGTCCACGCAACAAATAGTTTCTTTAGTGATAGGTATGAAAGTCTAACCACTACTACATAGATACGTAACTTGCCCTGAAATACTGAAAGAGGACTTGTTAGAAAAACAAAAAACAGCAAAAAAACCCACCCAACAACCCAACCAAGAGGGTATTAGAGTTGACATCCTAATCACTGAAGTATTTAGCTAAAGGCTGCTGAAAGAAGCAAGAGCTCTGTCACAGTGGAGCAAGCTGAAGAAGGGAAGGGCACTAAAAATGTCAGGAGCATTTCCAGCTGTTTAATTCCTTTCTTACTGTTTGCCAGAGACTTGTTATTGGAGCCCAACTGCAATTGCAAGTGCGATCAGAATATGCTGAACACAATCGCTGAAGAAAATGTAATGTGAAAGGAGTGTTTCTGAAAAAGTTTGCTGTGTGGAATATGGCTTATGGCAAAACTCCCTTCTGAGCAATTCATCTCTTCTATAAGTAAACACATATTTTGATTTCAATGGGCTTTTTTTATGCAAATATATACAGTATTTCTAATACCATATAGTTGATGGTATCATGAATGTTAGAAAAAATCTAAAAGCGTTTCCTCCAGCAATTCACCCTGGTGATGAGATGTGACAGACTATCCTTCAGGGTGACTTATTTGAAGAATCAAGTATTGGCATTAGCATGAAACTAGAAATACTTTAGCCAGCCCTGCATCTACCTCTGATCAGAAAGGTTTCTGGCAGGTTTTATGGGATTACATGCTCCTGATTTTATTACAAGCACTAAAAAGCCCAACTTCAACAATTTAGAGAGACGTATTTCCAATTATCAATGTTTCTTTTTTAGAAATACAAGACTCTGTTTTTTAAATGCTGCAATACCTACACCTGAATATTTCAGTATTTGTCAAACATGGTCAGGAAGAAAACAGCAGAGGAGGGCAAAGATACTGCTGAAAATCCCTACTATTACACCAGAGTGGGGAGGAGCTTTCAGCCCTGCACGCCATTGAGTGCTCACCTGAGGGTGTACAAGATCTTGCCGTCATTCCATATGCGGAGGAGCTGGTTGGGGGTGGTGATCCAGTGAGCCTCCGCCGTCTTCGAGTTACGAAATATCGTGTCTGGGATCCAGATCAAGCCAACCATGTTGCTGTTCAGAGTCAATATCTTCATGGTGCTGTTGAAGCGAAGACGGCTATCTGTCCACGTCTGGGCAAAAAATATATCAATTTGATATTCCTGCAATGAAAGCATGATACACAAATTGAAATCAGTTCCACACTTCCCACTGCTATTTGGTATTTGAGGTCTTTAAGGTCTATCTGAGTGTAGAGCATCCAGGCCAATGGAGAATATTTCCTTTTTTTACTGCCTGAGGAAATACTTTTCCTTTTTTTTTTCTTTTTATTTCTTTTTAGTTTGGTTTTTTTTTTTCCCTGTAGCTACTTCAGAAAGCAGGCCAAACACCTCACTTGACTTGGTCCTGCACCATAGCAATTTCTGCGCTAGCACGTTCTTTTCCATTGTCTCTGAACAGTCACAGCTACAAGATACAATTTGCAGAGACTTCTTTCTCATAGAGCAGATAAAAGAGGTGTGAAGGATGAACAGGATCTACACACATAAGGTAGAGAATGGCAAATTGCCCTGATTACAGCAATGCCTTTTGGGGTAGTGGTGGTGTTAATTTGATAAATTAATTGTTCTGTTTGTTACCAATTGTTCAGCCACTTGTTTTCCGGTCACACCTACAGCAGAATTGAAAAAAGCAGGCTAATATATTGAAATTATTATCTAAATTATTATCTAAATTGAAAAAGAGGCTAATATAATAATTTACATGAATCTCATCCTGTCTTTCACTGTGTTTACTGCTGTGCTTCTGTAGGTAAGCAGTCATGGTAAGTATAACTGCAGAAATTAAAATACACAAGGACAAACAGACAAAATTATATAGGTTAACATAAAAATATGCTGCATGTAATACCCGATGAAAGAAACTGTGCAAAAAAAAGCATTTGAATTGTGAATTCCAGCCACTGGAGGCTGGGAAAGGTCACGTTTGCATTTGCAGATGTTCCTCTCCCTCTTTCCAGACTGCTCTACCTGTGAACCCTGTGGAAATGCCCATCTGACCGTGTCATGAAAGACCCTTTCAGTATCACAGGGCTGGCTGCACCCATGACAGGGATGGCGTTTGCTGGTGTCACACAAAGCGTATGCTCTACAACACAGGCTGACACAGGGCTCAGGGATAATCCAGAGGAAACCATCTCCTTAGGTCCCCTGGTAGACGCACACTTGGTATATCTGAGCAAAGGAGAATTAAGGCTCCGTGGAAAGGCTGGTATGTGGCCTTTGACCACCCTGAACTTGCTTTTATTCCTGTTTTAAAAGGGAAGGTTTAAAAAGAAATGCTGTTTTACAAGCAGTATTGTATATTGTTTTATTTACAGATAGTCAGAAGATGATGTAGTCTGAACTGAGGACAGCATTTTTGCTGAGAGACATCTGGTTCTCCCGCACTATTACATTTTTGGCAGGTCATCCTTCCCAAGCTGATGTTATAACACCAGGAAACTTAATTCACTGACACTGTAATCCTAGTCCAAAACACACTCTGGGCGTCTCATCTCTAGATGGCAATGATCAATAGGTGCCTAAGTGGTGCTCGCATGTATTCAAATACCAGGTAATAGATCACCTTGGGAATTAAAGCCTAGCCACCAACAGCATTAAGGACCATTTTTCTTCATAGCCTATCTCACTACCATTTTTCATTGTATTTTAGCTTTATTTTCTCAGGGAAGCTGACAGATTTGAATCTGAAGAGACTTTTCTTTCATCTCGATGAGCACAAAGTTGCACATCTCCACACACTTAAAGGATGCAATGTAATGTACACAGAGTACCCTTATTATTCAGAAAGGACACCCTTAATTCACCAGGTTTAAGATGGTAGAGTGCTGATCTTGTTTCTTTACACTCAACTTTGTATCATTTTAGTCCTTGAAAGTCCAGTGACAAGAGTTTGGCACTTTCAGCTTCTACAGAGAGGAATATGCCAGACATGTCTACGGGTTTCTCCAAATGCTGAGTGAGTAGAGTTGCTTTTTTTAGCTCACATGTGAGAATCAGTATTTATAGAATCAAAGACCATTTCTATACAGCTGGCTAATGACAGTGCTGTCTTTTTACAGGACAAGTTTTTGCATGATATTCATATTGGAGGTTATTTTATGTGAATGCTTTATTTTGACTAAATTTAGGAGCAGCCATAATGCCCTTCTCATATATTGTACATATTTAATGATTTAAGGATTTTAGGATTTTCTACCCCACCAAAGGAAAGAAAGACCTTGAGCTCCATAATACAATGTTCTGAGAGGGTACTGCAGCTAGATCTGAGCAAGGTGGGCACCAGGAGCAGTATAGATGTATCATTGCAGTTTCCATTCAGGTAAACTACTCTGGCCGAGAAACAGCTTACATTAGCCTAGAAGCAGGGCCATGCTAACACCACTGAGCAACATCCGTTTTGCATGTCCTTTACTTATTACTGCACTTGCCAGCAATGATCATTATTCAAAATATTTCTGCAATGGGCCACTGTAACTCCATTCACCTTAATAAAAACTTCTCAACTGAAATTAAATGGTTCACAGGTCTTCTGAGTTATTTAGTTCTTTAAAAAAATGCATTTTTCTTTTTGTAAAAAAGGTCATAAAAAGCAAAGCAACACTTTTAAAAGTCAGTCACAGTTGTTTGAAATTAGTTGCATTGACTTTTTCAACACTTTACCCCTATTTTTTTTTGTTTAAAGTGCATACAATGTTCAGTCAGAATGTACAAACTACAAAACAAAATTTTCCCAGTAAAAATAAATGCACATTTCTATTTAATATCTGAATTGCAATTTCACCCTTTATGTTCTCTCCATTAATCCTTTTTAGAAGATGATGTTAGATCAGTACATCCTTTACATTAATCTTTGTAATTGCTTCAGTCTTCAACCAAGCAGATAATGGTGTATGATATTCATATATTCACTCTACTAGGAAGGGACAGAGGTCACTTTCGAAACTGGCACTCAGTTCTTCACTTCTAATGGAGCTAAGCCTGTGCACACTTCAGGAAAATTACCTTTATCTTCACTGACAACAGATACTCAGTTCCCAGTGAAGTCAACAGCTCCCATATACTGCTCTGCACAGAGCTGGCATAGTGATCTCCAACACACAGCATCCAACAGGAAACTGCCAGAAGAAAGGTTTCTATTTTGGTCTCATATACAGGTCAATATAATATAAGAAAATATAAGAAAGGAATGCTTTTCATTTGCCAGCTAATACCTGTCATTTTAGATCTTTATGAAATGAAATGGTTGCACTTAGAGAGTTCGGGCAGAACATCAGGTTTCAGCAAAATGATGCCTCAGATGAAGCAACATCCTACAACTCTAATAATATTCTCTATGTTCTGTTCTACCACTGGACCAGAAATGTTGCTAATATCCTTCTGATTCTTTCTTTTTATTTTTATTTTTTGGCAGTAACCATTGACTACTACAATGAACACAGGAAGGAATAAAAACCAGCAAATTTTTCAATAAGACTTCTTCCCAGCGGCAGAAAGGTGAAACTATGTTCTCCATGAAATGATGCCAAGGTCATGTACAGTAAAGTGTTCTTTCACTTTCTTGTCTTACAGGCGCCTAATTCGCCATGCTACCAAAATAGGCTCGAGATTTTTTCTACATATACCACATGTTCACACTGCGCCTGGATGCATTAACTGACGCTACACTCCAGAGCAGCCACACTTCCAAAAAGGCATTCTCCTTGAGAAGTAAGGGCCAGCCCTAAGGGGGAAAGTAGATCTGCATGCTAACATGAAAGACAATTCTAGGGAAATCTTATTTCATTTAGTACATTGCATACTTCTGAAATAAAATTAAATTTCTCTGATGCAAAATTCAATTATAAACTTGAAGGGATTGATAAGAGAATAATTTATTACCAATTTTAATAGATTTCATTATGATTATCTTTAAAAGTAAATTCATAAAGCATGTTACATGTATAACCTAAATTCCCCACACTTAGAAACTTCATTGAAATGGAAACTATTTGAGGGTTCCACAATCTGTCCACAGCTGATTATATAAAGAAAATTGGTTTGTTGGGTTTTTTTTGTTAACAAATTAAACAATTTTTAGAAATTGAAAGAGCAAAAATGTGAAACTAAAATATGGTAATGTTTCCAAATCAAAGACTCCTGACATACACAAATACTCAGATGAATATCTAACTCCATAATATCAGGCCTTTTAGGAAATTTTAAATTATCAATATTTTTTACTGTTTATGGAAAGACTAATGCTTTGCAGTAAAATTAAATCAATGTATTTGTATTTTGTTTGATCATATGAAAATATAAAACCTTGTTTCTGGCAGCTAATATGTACCTCTGAGTGAAATGTCTTTGTTCTTTTTCCCCCCTGCCATGATAACCAGCTTACAACCAAAACCTTCATCAACAGTTCTTTTTTGCAACTTGCCCTTAAATGAATGCATTATCCTACACATTTCATCATGTAAAAAAGACAGTTTTTTTCTAATTGCAAGACTTATTAAGAAACATACAGTACAATCTGAAAATAATAATTAACATTCTATCACTGGAAACCTCTCTATCACCTCCAACAAGGTTATCTTTGAAAACAGGATTTTAAAATTAGTGCTTGACAATGAACTTCACTAAACTTCCAAAGTAACTTCTAAAACCAAGAAAATAGATTATGGTCCTTTTACCTGTACAGTATGAAAGTAATTGTCTCCTTGATAACATTTCTTCCAATTGAAATTTTATAAGCTCTTCTTTAAATCTGGAACTTTTGCTGAGAAAAATGACTGAATGAGATGAGGAAAAGTGACTGATTTTTTTTTCTAAATCAAATTATGATTTAATTAGCCAGTATTTTTCTGGTTTGTGGTTATGTACAGAGCAATAAGTGAGAGACGATTTTTCTTTCTTACTTTCTATTGTGGATGGGGGACATAACCCAAACTTAACAACAGTATTAGCTGCAAATAACTCCACATAGTAAGGGTTCCAGCTACTTGATTTTAGCATATTTTTTGCATTTTCAAATATACCTAATGTGGTTTATTTAGTGCCTTGAAAATAATTAAGCCAGCAGTGACTTATTTGCCCTTCAACAGTATAGGAACGATTAA